GGTTCAAAACTCTTCTCAGAGACTCAGCGACCAAGTCTGAAATACTCCGGATTTTGCCGCATATGTCCCAGTAATTCCTGTGGTGATGCTTTTGCGGCATTTCTTGCTGGAATTACAATAGGGAGCAGGGTTCATAATAGCCAGCCTGGCTTATGTCTGTGTTCGAGGATGTATGGGGTGGGTGGATAGGCTGCAGATGGTGGCTATTGTGTTTCTTGGTAAATTGCCATTGGTAGGGATGTCATTGATGGATGTAGGAGAGGCATTTCTTTCTCACATCACCCCATCACCCTTGCTGTTGGACTGCAGCGAGGGAGAGCACAGAAAGACGCCTGAATGACTCCGCTTTCTTTTTTACAAGAGACAAAGGAAAGGCGTGCAAGCAAGATTAGATTATTTCCAATCACATTGTACGTGTGTTGACAGTCGGCTTTCAGCAGCAACCAGCAGCTTGCAAAGAGCAAGCGGCAGGGCTGGAAATGTTACTGCCCTAGAATTGTTTGTATAACACAGTAACTGCTTATTGGAGTCCTCAGAGCAGCCTTTACATGTTTAATCCCTTGCACTTGAGCTACTCTTAATCAGCTTGAAAGCAAATTCCTGTAACAGAAAGGTTTAATTTGTGTCTGGGACTTTCTGTATTGTGTTTAGGCTGCAGTGCTGTGTACTTACATGCTGGCAAGCGTATCAGCCTGTGCAGCCGTGGGGATGGGCTGTGTGTGTCACAGATTTTAAATCCGGTGACATTTCATACTGCGCCCACACCGATGGTCTTTGAGGTCCAGATAAAGTTCCTTTTGCCACAAATTCATTTGTAGTGGTCTTTCAGATTTCCTTTGAACTGAAAGGCCTACTTGGCGTTACTGTTCGTCTGAAACCATTGTATGCAAAGTTCTGAGAGCAGAAGGTAAAATTCTCTGTGATTTTTAAATTTTCTTCTTCACCAGGTTAAACTAGAATTTTATTGTAGCAGAAGATGCAGGAAGCTTGGTGTTCTGCAGTCTGACAAACAGCAAAATAGTTGATGAAGAAGGCAAGAATCACTAATCTTTGGTTGTTTTTATTTTTCCTGTTGGGGCAGTTTTAGTCCTTTCCTCCATCTCTCTCGCACTCAGTCATCATTCATCCCAGGGAAATCAAGGCATGTTCCACTGTCTGTTCACTTAAAGAAAACCGCCCAGTGGAAGAAGTCCAAAGTGTTTGGTTAGAAAATAAACAAAGTTGGCATGCTGAAAAGGGGTAGCGCGCTGCGTGGTGGAGAATGGCAGATGTGATCCAGCCTTCCCGTAGCATGGCTGAAACATGAATCATTGTAAATGTCAGATTTCCTGTGAAGGGAAGAGCTGAACTGACATGCGTTCAACTTTAATTAAGGTTGAATTATTGGAGCTGACTGTCAAGTCTTAGGCAAATTGGCTCAGGCTGTTATCATTAAGCATGAAAATTACTCTAGGACTTTGTAAAAATAAACACATTTTTTGCCTCAAGAACATCGTGGTGGAGCCTGGTGAATTCAGTCCTTTTATCAGGGTGGTTGTGCTTAGCTCTACAGGCCTCTCAGAAAGACTAGATAAGAAACTGAAACACTGAAATTCCTGAAGGAACCTATATAAAAACTGATCCAGCTTCCAGAAGGGGAAATATCCAGTTTCCTTCCTTGGAATAATTCCATGTGTGACCAGCAGTCATCCTGGTTGATTGGTGGGAGCCTGGGCCTAGAGCACCCCCTTCCAGAATATTCCAGAATCCTGCCAAGAAACTGCAGACTTTCTGATCCCAGTCTGAATGGGCTCATTAACATCATGAAAATTAATGTTCTGGTGGAGGTCAGTGAAGTAAGAAGGTGCCTCAGAGACTTTTATATGAATGGGGGAGAAAATGTCGGACTGGAGATTTTGGGGACAAGTGGCATGGTAACAATCGTGTTACATACCTAGGAAGGAGAGTAATTATTGCCTTCAAAAGTCACTGTTTATTTGGTTGTACAGTTGAAGTGACCTACAAGTTGTCCTGTTTCCACCTGGAAGCCTCTGGAGTTGTAGCTAATGAGAGCATTGTGGAAACAGGCACTAAAGAGGCAGAAATAAGCAGTGCTAGAAAACTGTAAAAGGAGATATAGAAACAAGAACATGTATTTATGATGAGCACATCAGCTCCTCAGTGATAAAACGGGTAGCATGTGTTCTCCAAGGGCAGGGTCTGAGGAGGTCGAGACATGGCCCTCCACAGAGTGGCCGAAGGGACGGGCTGTGAGCGGCTCCGTGCTTGGAGGCACCCTGGCTGTTCCCGCAGGAGTGGTGAGGCACACGAATGAGATCCCATCTGGGTAGCTGCTTTGTCCCAATCTGTGCATTTTCTGAGATGGTGAGGTGGAATGTCTGGATCTGAGGAACACTCCCTCTGCAGCAGGTTTGAATTTCAAACAGCTCCCAGTGTCTGGCGAGTCGTCTTCTGTTCCCTCTATTCGTGGGCATTTCCTCTTCACCCATGGCAGTTGAGCAGTTTTGCTCCATTGTGCTCGTGGCAGCCATCAGAAGCAGAACAGGAAAGTCACCAAACAACAGGATTCACTCACGCTCTTTCCTGTGAGGTGTCACAAGTGCTTGGACTTTCCACTGTCTCTCAGGGCTTCTGCCCTCTTATCCTTTAGTTTACACCATGTCTTTCTAATTTTTCTAATACATCCGATTTTGCTGAACATGGCTACAGAAGGAGAGGGAATGTTCTTTGTCATGCCTGTAGCTGTTCCCCAGAAAAAGCATCTGGCTTTTTTCATGAAGTCTTGAATTGTTCTTAAGAATGAAACACAGCAAACATTATG